AGAGAGAGAGAGAGAGAGAGAGAGAGAGAGAGAGAGGGAGAGCAAAATATATTTCTTCACACACGAGATAAATTACGCAAGCTGTCCCTCACACATCTTTTTTACCGCGTATAAAATTATATAAATTACCAACGATCGAAGAAATCATTCGTGCATATAAAACAAGAAGTTTCATGCAAAATGTATTCCATTAATCGCCGTTTTTTAATCACAACATACTTCCTGCTACCAGCAACTAAAGGTAACTATAATTACATAACTAAAAAAACGTGATAGATTTTACGCGAGAACCGTTTATCGCATATTATATTGCGCAGTGCGAATCACGGATGAATGTTATGGTTTTTATTTACGGAGGAGATTCCTGAGCAGGTACAAGTACAAGTACCGAGGGTATCAGTACCGGAGACGTTTTCGCGTGGGTTCCGAGCGAAGGGATTAACTTCCGGGAGATAAGCGCCTGTGTAGCGACTCGTTACCAGCGAATGCTTTGACGGAACGTTATATTGCGTAAGAGAGATTCTCTCTTTTCCTCACTCCCCTCTCTCCAGTGTATTATCTCGACAATACGCAAGCGGCAAACACTAGCAACACGTGATATTGGGTTTCTCGAAACGCAGCGCCCGCCGTTTAAAGCCGCGNCTCTCTCTCTCTCTCTCTCTCTCTCTCTCTCTCTCTCTCTCTCTCTCATTCTTTCACGTGGCTTAGACATCAGATCGCGATCTAACGGGTGCAAACGGGTTTTAAGGAAAACGTTAATAAGAAAAGAAAAAGGGAAACCGACATGCGTTGCTACCTCGTCGATGAGATATGGCAGAGGCCGACTGGCAGGCCTCGTTTGCGCTCTGATGCAAAGCCGAGTCCGAGTTCGTTCTCCGCCAGGTGTCCGGCGGCGGTGGCGACAGGTAAGGTACGCCGCTGTACGGCGAGGTGTCGTGCCTCTTTTCCATGGGCCGGGATCTCATCGGGCCGACTCCCATGCTGCTGCGGCTCCTGTTGTCGCTACGGTAGACCATCGAGTTGTTTTGCATCTCCTCGAGATTGCTGAGCGCCGTCTGCAAACACGAAACATTCCCCTTTGAGGCTTTACGATTACGGTGTACGGGGTCATGTGTGCGGCGCGGCACAGCGAACATCGCGCCGGGGGGGNGGGGGGGGGGGGGGGGGGGATTACAAACCTACGCTACGAGAGACACGGAATCTCGCGGAGGCGCAAAAGTATCCGCAAATCATGCAGGGGAAGCGTGCATGCGTGTTTTAGCGTTGCGTGTGCCTCTTTCCGACTCCGCCGGATTCCTCCCCGTTTCTCTCTTTCCTCCTTTCTAATTACAGTATGTGTATTAAGTAGAGCAAGTACTGTCGTTCTCAATGATAACCGAGATTATCCGTGATAAGATTCGTTGTCCGTAGGAAGGGACGGTTAGATGGACGGTTTCGGGAACCGATCGATCAAACGCGCCGCCTGCAATTAACGGACGCCGCGAACTATTCAGCCGATAAAATGGAATCCCGGTGAATTTCACTCCGCTCCGAGTTACGGCCGGGGACATCTTTACGGTGACAGATTCGTGCGCGCGCGCGAAGGGAAATAATTCACTTCTATCTCCGCGCTACCGGCGTGGCGAAAACCTCTTTTCCCGAACTCTCCGACGCGACCCTCCTCGCCGATTCAACGTCCGACGGCGAAGAATTTTCTCGTTTCATGAATCCCGCCTCATAAAACGTTCCCGGTGCTGCTTTACGACCCGCCGTCGTTCGTCGTAGCGCCGAGCATCGCCGTAGCGGCGATTAAAGTGACATAAAGAAATTTATAGCGCGCGTATTCGATCCATAAAGAGATCCCACAGGGAGATTCCGTCTGAGTGTCACCCGAGAGAAAAACCGCCTCTCTCGCGCGCGCCACGCAGGGAGGAAAATCTCGCGCGTCCGCCGGGCGGACGATCGGGCGATGACATCGTCGTGTTTCGCCACCGTGCCCGGAGTTATGCACGCCAGCAATAATAATAATAATAATAATAATCCAACGAATGTATATATATGTCTTCATAGCCTCTCGCTCACTTTCCCCGATGCTATTCCCGCCGCACACGGGCGTTTGATTTCCCGGCTTATAAGCGAACGCAAGTCGCAACGGACGCCTTAGTACCGATACGAGGCGCACAACGGGGGAATATATGCGATGCTTCCGGCGCGAGGCGATATCTCGATGCTTTGTCTGCCGAGATAAGGAGGCGTCCTGCAAATTGGACGTCGCTGACTCGATCAGATGGTACCGTGTTCCCGTCCGGAGAAAGGAACTTGAAGCGCGCAGATAATGACGTTACGGGGAGTCTTGGGTGACATTCTTTTCAAGGATTTAATCGCCAATCGATCTCTCCCGAGCTCATCTTCATATTTTCCCGCTCGTTTCGCGGCTTTATAGATTCGTGTGTAATATAAATGACAAAATTAATTTGAATTCAAAGGAAGCTTTGTTACGACAGAGAGAGAGAAAGAAAGAGGGTGGGAGTGAGAGGAGAGAGAGAGATGGAGAAAGACGCGCATTATATTCAAAGAGTGGCTTCCTTTTTAAACCCTAATGAGAAAACATAAGCGGCGGACTGACAGGGATAAAACGCTTTCGTGGGATTTCGAGCTTCCTGTCGAGCGGCACTGCGAACCCAATAAAGAAATCCCTCGGCAGACTGCTCCTGTGTGTACGTGTGTGTGCGTGTGTGTATGTGTGTGTGTGTGTGTGTGCGCGTTGGTCGCCATGTGTCGGATGAACGTGGGTCGCACGGCTATTACCTAATATCTGTTGAATTATGCGATAAACACGGAGCGTTTCTCCCACGATTACGGACGCGTTCGCGGACGCTGTTTGACAAACGCGCGTGTCGTTCGGCCGTTTATCACGCTATCCGCGTTTCGAGAGGCGGTCCGCCTATTACAGCGGAAAAGCGAACGTCGCGAACGGTGCATTAACATAATGTAACGTTTCCATCGAAATTTTATTCTATTTATCATCGTCATACCGTAACGAGAACATCGAAAACAACGAAACCGTTCTCGAGATCTCCCCTCCCTTTCGTTTCCCCTTCATTTATTCCAACGCAATTTCCCCCCCCCCCCTCCTCCAGTTCCGGAGAGAATTCGGGGACTCCGTCACGAGGGATCTTCGAGTCCGACAGCACGAAGCGCGAATAGACGGTGGATAGACGGTGATTCGCATATGAAGCAGCACAGTTCCACGCGGTTGAAATCGCCGCTGACGTAACGGCTCAACCACGCGCGTGATAACTTTCACGATAGGGTTTTTTTTATCGAAGCGCCCGATATTTCGAGGAAGCTCGGCCCCAACTTTCAACGGGGCTCCCCCCCTCTCTCTCTCGATCCACCGAGAGCTTCCGTGTACTCTCCGATGCCCTCCCCTCGTCCCCCCTTCATTAACATAATGTAATATGCAGAACGTATTGGCGTCTGGCGTGGTGACGATGCAAGAATAGTCCCGCCGCGACTTTTTTACGCCGCACGGACAACGCCGCGCGCACGTGTTCCGAAGCTCATCGGGTTGGCTCGCGCGGGCGCACGACGAACGAGAGAGACGGCGGTATTAAACATATTCCGTCACGCGTCCCCGTCCGAGAGCAGCCCGGACTTTATATAAAGCCTTCGTTAGGATAAAACGCGCGCCCGTAAATATAAATAACGCTGTTATAAGCAGCGCCGCAAAATGCTATTAACTTTGTTATGATTTATGACGACGAGCACGTTGCGAATCGATAGAAAGGAGGGATGGACCGAAACGGCTGTTTCGATCGGGGATCGCTATTACGGGATGAAAGGCTGATTCCCGTGCGCGTGAAAGAGGGAAGATACGTCGTTCCCCCTCCTTCTCGAGGGAATAGCGCGGTGTAATCGTGATGGAAGAATAATCGCCGGTTTTCTTCGGAGGTAAGCGCGAGATCAGCGTAATTTTCGCGCAAGAGGAAGATTTTCTCGTCGTGGTGCCTCCGGTCTGCTCGCATCTCGCGCCGCTCACGGGCGAGAAAAGTGTCGGGAGTGAGTATAGAAAATCTGAAAACGGAGTGATAACCGCGAACAACACGCGGGGTCTCGACGTCTCCATTCACAAGTTTCCCAATGTCAGGGCCGTGGGCGTCGCACGAGACGGCGCGGCGCGGTGCATCGACCAAGCCACGCTCGTTGAAGAAACATACCTTCAATTAACGTAGACGCTAATAAAAGGCATCTGCAGTCCGAGGCGCGAATTCCTGCCTGTCCGGGAACGCCGGCGGAATCATCAGACGGCGCGCGATCCGCAGATCGATTCCGCTCAACCCGTTAGAAATGTTCACCTTCTCGCTCGCGTTTCCACGTTTCTTCCGACGGGAGGAAAAATGTGCCGCGTCAGGTAAATAAAATATGGCACGCTGCAGCGCCGGTAAGTTGAATGAACGACCGTTAATAAAAATATAATAGGAGGAGCTACGGGGTGAAATGACACGACGCCCGATATCCGTCGATCGAATTAGCATAGCTCGCGATATTTTCGCTTCGACGTCGACAATGTCCGCTGAAAATCGGCGGAAGCGTAGCGGTCTGACGGTGCGCGTCAATGGCTGCGGCGAAAGGTCGCGCGATATTACCTTGGTGGAAATATATGCTGTTTTCGTAGACACTCGCCCAGTTACTGTCTAGTATTAATGCATTCTCATTCATTGCAACGTGATATTGTTATACTGCGTATAGAAATTAACATCGCAATTCAGGACTCGTATTCTCATATATAAGCACAAGAACATGTAATCTTACATGAAGATAAAACTTCCTTACCTACTTGTGAAGAAATTCTATATATATAGTTCCGCTAAAAATATTATATTCCTGTTATTCATGAATAATTTTCATGAATCGAGAGGAAAAAAATATTAGAAGGAACGGTATTTTCGGACTGATACAATTCTTAATATAAAGATATCGTACTATCTATCCGACATTTTTTTCTTCTCAATTGATAAAAATTATCCTTAAAGAATATGAATATATTTTTAGTGGGACTATATATAGAGAATTTCTTCATGTAGGCAAGTTTTATCTTCATATAAGATTATATTCTTCCTTATATAAGAAAACATGAGTCTTAAACTGATACCAATTTTTTTTCCGTGTACAAGATGGGCAAAAACTCTTGATAGAGTTTTATTCAGAGATATTTCTAGGGCAAAACTGTTCATTTCATGAGCAACAGGCTTGCTTGTCAATCAAGTAAATAGTTTTTTTGTTTATTTATTGTTCTATTTTCATTCAGTAAATTCAGATTTTGCGCATCTTTCGTGCGTAGTAATTACAGATAAAGCATTACATCTTGACTGGGAACCTAAGTAGTTTTGCTTTTCAATTACTAGGCAAAAGTTAATATAAGTAGATATAACTGCCCGGTAATTGCGCAAAAATGCATGAAATTTCTACCAAGGTAGTTCACATTTACAATAGATGTAGCAAGCTTTTATCCCTTTGTTCTGAGCAATAAAATGTAACGTGATTTCAGACAAAAGGCGTTTCCCACAAGTCGCAATAACGCTTGAATCTTAAAAATCGCGACGTCTGAGAGCGCTGGAAACGCTTTCCGCTAGAAATTGCGTTATAATTTAGCGCTTAGAGCAAAAGGCCAAAGGCCGTACTGCACCTCTACGGATCTGGACTTAGCTTGACCTGAATCGTACCTATGTCAAAATCGCGTTGTTTCACTCGAAAAGCGTTCTTTTTCTTTCTCTTTTTCTTCTCCAAATATCGCGCGTTTGCCGGCGAGGAAGGCCCCGTCGTCTGTTCGCGAAAAAGCAATCGCCATCGTCGTCGTCGTCGTACGTGTCGGTGGATGCACGCGACAGCGACTCCGGGATCCTCGCCGGCCTGCATCGGCGCGATAGAGGCCAATATTAGTCTCGCGAGAGCAATGTGTAACGGACGAGACACGGCCGCAGCGAGTACAAAGCTGCGATCGATGTACGTACATACGCCGCATCGCCGCCCGATTCTCCCTTGTTCCGCATCTCGCTACCAAGAAGCGTAATTA